CAGGACTAAAAGGACTAAACAGGTAAACTAAACTAGATCTAAACTAGATCTAAACCAGGTCTAAACCAGGTCTAAACCAGGTCTAAACCAGGTCTAAACCAGGACTAAACCAGGATTAAACCAGGACTAAACCAGGACTAAAACCAGGTCTAAACTAGATCTAAACTATATCTAAACTAGGTCTAAACCAGGTCTAAACCAGGACTAAAACAGGATTTAACAGGACTAAAGCTGCACGGACGTGTTTCCTCCTCTTCTATCAATAATATTTTTAATTTGGTTCAGTAAAGTCTGGGATTTTTATTTTCTTTTATCAGACAAAACATCTTACGTTACAATTTCCTCGTCTTTGCTTCTCTACAGCAAACCAAGTAATCCAAAGTATTCAGATTACATTACTCACCTTAAGTAATTTAATGGATTCCGTTACAAACTACATTTTGGTGTATGTAATCTGTAATCTGTAGGGGATTACATTTTAAAAGTAACACTCCCAACACTATAAACAGTACAGTTATATTTAATAGGTCCTAACTAAATATGTGAGAATGAATATGCAGTAACGACAATAACCGAAATATCGTGATATCGATTTTTTTTTGCTTAAATGCATTGTTTTATAGTAGAAAAAGCTAATAAACATCGGGAACTACATATCCCATGATTCATTTCAGCGCAAACAACGTGAAGAAATATGTTTTTTACTTGAATTCTTGGGATTATGACGGAAATAATTCACAATAAAGTCATGTCAAGGTAAAGTGTCCTAACTACAATTATATAAGCCTCTCCAAAATATCGCAATAAATATCGTACTGTGAGATTTGGATATCGTTACATCCCGAGTAATGAACGATACCGATAAAAGCCTTATTGACGTCTCGTGTGTGTCGTACAGACTGGACTCAGAACGACCTGGTCCGCGGTTCCAGACTCAGTTTCTGCCAGAGGTGGACTTTGCTGATTGAAGAGAAAAACAGAATCCAGTGTGTCCTCCCCCCAGGACCCGCTCTTCCTCTCGGCGCAGAGTGAGTTAACTATTTCAATTACGTCCATGAATCAAATGTTCCGTAATGGTATGCAAACACACTGTCATCATGCCGCGGTCTGAAGTGGGTCAAACGAAACGGGACACGTCGTTTCTTTGTACAAGGTCAATGAAGCAGATCTGTTTCCTAAGAAGAATAACTACAAGTGTTGAGAAATACAATATTCAGTTGATACGTGTTCATTTATTAAAGGTGCACTTAAATTTGTAAATTTTCTGGTGGGGGGTTTGTTACCTGCGTTTTTTTTTCTGCTTTGCCTGGAATGTTCCGGCCTGATTCATCAGCCGGTTTCACTTTTATGGAAACAGTCTGACCTCTCAGCATTAGGATAGGCGGGTACTTTTTTAAAATTTAACCAATCGCTGCTATTTGGTCATGATGTATGTAATGCGCCGCTAACTGGTTTATTAAACTTTTCCCAAATCCCGTAGGAAGAAGGACAATAACGTCTTTCCCCTTGTTAAAATTCACCAAATATTCTCTTTGTTCGGGCTTTAAATCCTCGATCTCGACTTGGACTCGAGTCGGGCTTCAGTCACTATTTTTAGGACTTGAGACTTGACTTGATAAAATGGACTTGGATTTGAAGGTCAGTGACTTGGGACTTGACTCGGACTTGAGGCCTGTGACCTGAGAAGACTTGAGAAGCACTTTTAAATCTGAATTCTTTCTATTCTGACTGTAATGATTCACACCAAGATCTCGTCAAGACATTTAAGGAAAAATGAACATTTCTACATCTCTCACATACTCTGTAAATACTCATATATAAATATACTATGATTTTTTAAGTACAATTTATCTAAAAGTCATAAATTGCAAAAATCTAAGCTTTGGTTTAAAGGCTTGAAATGATTTGAAGGTCAAAGCAGACGACTTGGACTTGAGTTGGACTTATGGGCCAGTGACTCGAGACTCGACTTGGACTTGCCTGTATTTGACTTGGGACTTGACTCGGACTTGAGGTCAAAGACTTTAGACTTACTTGAGACTTGCAAAATGACGACTTGGTCCCTCCTCTGATCTCGGGAATCGTTGCCAACACTGAATATATGGCTCTTCGCTGATTGGCCGGTGCCCGAACTCGCACTTCCTGTTTTTTTTTTTACCGTTTAGTGTCTTCTGATTCCTGACCTAGTCGCTGGAGAGAAATTAAATTGAGTAGAGGCACTAGGTGGCGCCAGCCTGACTAAGAATAGCATAAAAAAATCTATTTATCTGATCTATTTATGCAATTGCAGGTGTTTTTTATGTTCAAAAATATCTTGAAAAACCTACAGTCTTTATCTGAATGGGTCGCCTCTCCACAGATCTGTCCAGTAACTTGCCCCAGTGGCACTACTTGCTTGTTTCCATGGAGATGCATACATGTAATGCCACACTGTGAAACATCCCAGGCAAAGGAAAAGTATCTTCATTAAGACAAACATGTGGCAGAACCTCCACCTAAAATAGTGTTCCTTTAAATAAAAAGTTTACATAATGAACTAACATTTTTTTTGTTTATTAAGTATTCAAATATTCAGGTATTATTATTGCTTTGTTATTGATTAATTACAAATGATTAACTGCACTGTGTAACATTTCTAGTGGAGGGTCTGCTACCTGCTTGTCTCCATGGAGATGTTATTAGTTTGTCTAGAACAGGGGTCAGAAACCTACGGCTCGAGAGCCACATGTGACTCTTTCATCCTTCTGTTGTGGCTCCTTGTAACTTTGGAAAATAAATAATGAGTATTTAATTACAATGCATTTTTATTTAGTTTTTAAATTTAATGCTAAATTTGTAGATAATGGTAATTTTCTAACATTAAAATAAAATGTTTTTAATATTTTTGTCACTTAAAATATGCATCACAGTCGCCGATGTGCAGCACATATCTGACAGCCCGGACTTTCCGGCACCTTCACCAGCAGCACGATTTATTGAGCTTTTCGGTCTCTGGTAGTTAATTGATGATTAAATCCAAGAAAAGAAAAGTTTCTGAAGAAAACAGAACGTTTAATGCTACGTGGGCAGATTCGTGCACGCTTCAGTACTCGCGATAAAATGATGACGGAACTCAGGAGCAGGCGGCATTTTTGGTTCATTGCGGGCTTGGTAATTTAAGTTTGATTTTTATTTCCTACAAGGAGAACTCAAATAGACTCAAATAGTATTTTATTTGAAAGTAATAAGTGCCTTTTTTCAGTTCAAAATGTTTTTGTTTCATGCAGAAATAATATTCCGTGTTCTCTGTCGCATTTCATTGATTTTCTAAATGCAACACACTATAGTTTTTTACACAGAGCACACGGATAAAACAAAAATGATATGTAGTGTTCTCCTCATTTTAGATGTGAAAAGGATTTTGTGTCTCCAGGTGTTTTCTTTTCTGTGGGAGACGCTCCAAATGGCTCTTTGAGTATTTAAGGTTGCTGACACCTGGTCTAGAATGTTCCACAGTACAGATTAAACCTGTCAATCATGAGGGAAAGAAGCAGGTCACAGCACTACACTACATTACAAATCAGATCTGTGGAGAATCGCCCCTATTCACAGAAGGAATTATTGTATTTTTGAGCAACAGAACCACCTCTAATGAATAAATGCTGGATAGATATTTTTAATCTTATACCACTGAACATTCAAAGTGTTAACATCTCCATGGAGACACGCAGGTAGCAGACCCTCCACCAGAAAAGCTGCAGAGTGCATCTTTAATTGTTAAACACCGTTCCAGTGCATTACAAAACTTCGCCTTATCCTTGTAGAGTTTGTTTGCACATTGATTAAAATAAAAAGTTACTGCAGGTATCAGGGACAAGGACACACGTGAAACCAAACCAAAATACTCCCAACCAGGAATGTAAATAAAATCTTTTGGTAAATCTGTAGTTGTCATATGTTTTTCTCTTCCTCAGATGCCTCAGTTCATTCTCTCCCGTCCAGGGCCTCAGAGCAGTTATCAAAGACGTAAATGGACACCAGCTTCTCGAGGTAGAAGAAAATCATGTTTAATGTTTAATATAAATAGTGAGAAATGGTTACAGGAGTTTGATGTACTTTTTTTTTTTTTTTGTATTTTTGTTTGTTTTAGGTTTGGGACGAACGTGGTCTGAGAAAGTGCCTGAACCTCACAGCCCTCAACCAACATGGACGGGTCTATGATGACGGTGAGAAAATTATTATTATTATTTTTTTTATACTGGGTTCCAAATTAAATTAAAGTTCCCATATTACGTTATTTTCTGATCTGTGCTATAATGTTGTTTCCATCGCAAACAGACCTGGAGTTGTGTTTTTTTTTCATTGTTTCACATGTTTAACACACAAACCCTGCAGATTTAGGCCTGAGTTCTTCTCTTAAACAGGAAACACTCTGTTACACCTTGTGATGTCATGTGATAATACAGGACGTGCTCCACTGTGTTTTTTAAACTACAAACACTAGAATCACTTGGATAATTTCAGTGCTGGAATTGCCGATCTTTACTGAACAAAAGACAAAAGGTAGACATGACATGCGGTTGACATGACATCACAAGGTGGAACAGAGCATTTTGAGCTTTGGAGACTTAGACTAATAATAAAGTGTTATAAAGATGTATGAATGAAATGAAACACAACTCCATGTACTGTATGTTTTTGAGGAGGTAACAGTATTCTAACATTTCTCTCAAGAGTCAATCTAGACCAGGGGTGTTCACACTTTTTCATCATGCGAGCTACTTACAAAATGACCAAGTCAAAATGATCTACCTAATACAAAGCCAAGCAAACTGCACTGAAACACTCTGTGCCCCTTTTTTGGACCCTCACCCACAGTTTGAGAACCTCTTCTTTAAGAGAACTTCCTCTGGCACTTTACACAAAACTGTGAAAAAAATGAAGGAAGATTTTTAAACCTGTTTTTTAAAGTTCCAAACTGGAGTTGCATTCTTTTCTGGTTTTGCAGTGATATTTACCAGCCTCTGCACATTTACCAAACCAAACGCACATCGTGACAAACACAGATGCATTTGTGCACTTTTGTTAGACAAACTTCAGCCAAATGTGGCAGTAGGTCTGTTCTGTAGATCCGCTCTATGCTGTAGACCTGCTTTGTGCCAACACTGTAAACACAAATTTAGACTGGTTTTTGCTTCACGTTTGGTCTTGCTCTTCTAATCAGCCGCACTGTGGGAGGGGCTTGTGTTCGCTGTACGCAGGAAGGAGCGAGAGCGTGAAAAGGCGAGGGGCGGCGTGCTGACGTGAGGCAGATGGACAGGTAGGATGTTTAGGAAGTTGAACCTGCCCTGTGATGCACGCTGGTACACGAGGGCACACGCTGTCGCAGACGAGCCGTGCATAGGGAGCGTGTGTGTTTGTGATGCGCCGTAGAGTCTCCGCGGGTTTCAAATGAGCGCACAGGCTGCACTGAGACGCCCCACACGCTCCTGCACCCGCTACAAGTTTATTACCAACAGCAGCGGCCGTAATGAAATATGATCACACTTGTTGAGTGTCAGACCTCGAGTGAGAGACAAGACCGAGTCCAAACGTGATCGAGTCCGAGACGAGACACGGTGATCTACCCACACGACCTTGACGATCGACTGGTAGATCGGGATCGACGTATTGAGCACCCCTGGTCTAGCGACATTAAAAAAGTTATTAATAGTGGTAATATTCTTCTTGTTGTATATTTTTAGTGCACTTTGGCTGTCTGTCCTGGTCACGATGTGAAAACAAACTGTTGTACATCGCTGAGAAAAAAACAGAGTCACCAAACGCCTCATCTGGAGACGTGAAGGTGAGAGACGTGCTGTGTGCTGTCTTCTCAGCTACAGGTGAAAATTCTGGGAATTTGGAAAATGTTTGAATAGTACATGGGAGTCAATGGGGAAAAAGGGAGTTAACAAGGTTTGCTCTTATGTAGAAGTGATGTACAGAAACATAACAGCTTAAATGTATGCAACTTCATTTATATAACTTACATAATGTCTAAGGAAAAATAGCTGTGGAGTTTGGAGGTAAATAATAGTTGAGTTTTGTTTGTTCGTAGGAGCGCAGACTGTACCGTGAGGACTGGGGAGAGGCTCTGTCTCAGAAGAGTGTCCCTGTGCTCTGCTGTGTGGACCTGAGGAGCGGGGTCGTCCGTGTGCTGCAGGGGGCTCCAGAGCAGCTCTCAGCAGGACAGGTCTGTGCTCCAGCTTTACACTTTANGGAGACCAAACCGAACCAAGTTACAGGTCAGATCTGCGGAGAGGCGACCCCGCTCACAGTCAGAATGTCTGTTTTTCTAGGTATTTTTGAGCTACAAAACAATTACTTACAATGTGTCTGTGCTACTTTAGAACATTTTAAATCAGTTGTTGCCTTTGAGAAGAAATGAACTTTGTGACCTAGATTATCAGATTTTGTTTTGTTTTTATTTTAACAATATTGTCCAGCCCCAACAGTGCTAAACAAATACACATCAACTTACAGCGCATTTGCACGGGATAAGCAAAGTTACTTTATTTTACTGACATTCACTGAGATTGACAAAAAGAAAAGAAAGAGATAGAAAAGGTGCAATTACAACAACAAACACTGAGATGCAGATTCACACGGGACTCGTATTATCACCGGACGTCTGTGTTTGGCGAAATATAGTTGGTAATTTCCACCAAAATGTTTACTTTACAAATTACAGACACGGAGCATTCGGACGGGATTCAGATCTCAGGAATCCTCCACAGTTATTACAAATCACCACAGGTCAAACTAATCCCGTGTGAATAGAGCTTTATGTTCACTAAATACTGTATTATACAATATCATTGCTATTTTAAAGGTGCACTGTGTAACTTTTCTGGTGGAGGCTCCATCAAATGCTTTTCTCCATGGAGATGTTACCGCTTTGTCTGGAATTTTACAGTATGACATTAAATTAATACATTTTTATCTTCATGAAGACCAAACCAGACCAAGTTACAGGTCAGATCTGTGGAGAGGCGACCCCACTCACACGAATTTCTGTTTTTCTAGATATTTTTGAGCGATAAAAGCACTTGTAATGGAATAAATGTAAAATAGAGCTGTTTAATGTCACACTGTGGAAGATTCTAAGCAGAGCAATGACGTATCCATAGAAACAAACAGGCGACGGACGCTCCACCAGAAAAGGTACACAATGCGCTTTTAAATCTCTTCTTGCGTGCCCCTCAGTCTGGATGCGGTGGGGCCCTCCGTGCGGTTGCTGGAGCAGATCTGGGGCCCCTCGTCTCGTCGTCCCGTGTGGGTGAACGCCGACGTGCTGCCCGGCCCCGGGGGTGTGGCCTCCCCTTTACAGCCCCAGAGCTTCCTGTCCGCCGTGGGGGCCCTGCCTGACCACACTGTGCTCTCTCTCTGGGCTGGACCACCGGCTGGACCCCCGGAGCTGAAAACCCAGGTACAGACGGTGGAGGAGGAGGAGGTTCGGCTATTTTCAATTTAAAGGTGCAATTAAAGAGAAAGGGACTAATGTCAAATGAGTGAGTCGCACCAGCCAGAAAATGTGCACTGTTGGGAAGGTGACTTTTAAAATGTAATCCCCTACAGATTACAGATTACATATCCCAGAATGTAGTTTGTAACGTAATCCATTAAATTACTTAAAGTGAGTAATGTAATCTGATTACTTTGGATTACTTGATTTGCTGTAGAGAAACAAAGACGAGGAAATCTGAACATAAGAAGCTTTATCTGATAAAAGAAAATAAAAAGCCCAGACTTTACTGAACCAAATTAAAAATATTATTGATACAAGACAAAGAAACACGTCCACACAGCAGGATTTAGTCCTGGTTTAGACCTGGTTTAGATCTAGTTTAGACCTGGTTTTAGACCTGGTTTAGTCCTGGTTTAGACCTGGTTTAGATCTAGTTTAGACCTGGTTTTAGATCTGGTTTATCCTGGTTTAGATCTGGTTTAGATCTAGTTTAGTCCTGGTTTAGACCTGGTTTAGATCTAGTTTAGTCCTGGTTTAGTCCTGGTTTAGACCTGGTTTAGATCTAGTTTAGTCCTGGTTTAGTCCTGGTTTAGACCTGGTTTAGATCTAGTTTAGATCTAGTTTTAGACCTGGTTTAGTCCTGGTTTAGACCTGGTTTAGATCTTGTTTAGATCTAGTTTAGTCCTGGTTTAGTCCTGGTTTAGACCTGGTTTTAGATCTGGTTTAGATCTAGTTTAGACCTGGTTTAGTCCTGGTTTAGAGACCTGGTTTAGATCTAGTTTAGACCTGGGGAATTAGCCCGAAATGTGAAAACAGGGGGGTCTTTTAAAGTCTTAAAAAGCTCTTAAATTTCATGTTCCTTAATTAAGGCCTTAAAAAGTCTTAAATTATGTTGTTCCAAGTCTAATTTTTTTCACAAAAGTGTTAAATTTCATACCTATTTGTTGTAAACTGAACTGGACTTCAGTGTGATCTCTGTGTCACTCCACCAGGTCAGGCTCTACACCTCCCTCTTTCTCTTTCTCTTTCTTTCTCTTTCTCTTTCTCTGTTTCTGGTTGAAGCATTTTGAAAGTCAATGTGAAACAAAACAATGTGAAAGTTTAGTTTGTCTTGTTAGAATTACGACTATAAATGAGTTCTGAATGAGATTTTATAATAAAAGTATTTTTTGTTATTTAAAGCAGTGAGTAATGGTCATTATAAGAATTGGATCTGGAGTATTTCACCTGCGTAAATGGGCTCGATGTTGGTCTTAAGTTTCATTGAAGTGATCTTAAAAAGGTCTTAAAAAGTCTTAAATTTGGGGTTGTTAAACCTGGAGACCCTGGGATGGTTTCAGTGTCACTGAAGTCCAGACTTTGTCCATCCATCCAGTGACTTCAGGAAAGTTTCATGGTGCATCCTCCTGGTGTCACAAGTTTCTCTCTCACTCCAAACTTTCTTTCTGCTGCTCGATTTCTGTTTTCAGCTGCAGATTTCACAACTTGCAGTTTGTAAATCTGCAGAATCTGATTTTGTTTTTTTGGGGCATTTGCGTTCAGTTTTCTCAGTCTTTGTCTTTATAAGTTTAAAGTTTAAATGTTAAATAGTCGAGTGGTGCAGAAGTAACGGTGCGATCGACTGACATGATACAGACAGAACAGAGGCTCTTTCTGCAGGAGACATGCGCAGTAGAGCCAAGTGACAGTGGTGCAGGAGGAACAGGAGCAGCAGATCCTCACACACAAGACTAGAACCTCTCCACACTTCACCAAAAACATTTTAATATAGAAGTCACAGGAAACACACAAACCATGAAAAAAAGTGTGACTTATAGTCCAAAAATAAATACATCTATGAACAAGAGAAACAGTGCAAAGATTATACAGTGATTGACATGGCGTTAGGCTTATCTGCTACATACCGTATTTTCCGGATCATTAGACACGGTCTTAAGCCTCTAACTGCATCAAGAAACGGCCGCACGCCACAATCCAGAGCGTCTTATACACGAATCCACTCGGGTGTCCCAGCACGACTTCAGTAAACTACAAACCTGCACCACCCGCAGAACACGCAAACACACACGGAGCAGACAGCGACCGCACAGAGAAACACACCCACAGACACACTCATCACTCCACGCCAACGAGGAACGGAACAGAGGAACGAACCGAAAAAGCGACGAGTGCAACGTGCCGCTTCTAGACACGACTGAACAACTGAGTCACTGTGAACACACCGACAATCCAGACAGCACCCTCCCTACACGCCACAACTGATAATTCAAAAAATAATTGAAAATACGGTAAATTGTTGTACAATTGTCAACATAAGCTCAGTGTGTGAGACGATTTGATTTGGAGAAAAATAAAGAAAGCTGACTGAATTTTCCCTCCTGTGTCTGACCTCCAGGCTACAGTTGGGAGATGGTGCGTGAGATGGAGCAGATCTGCGGAGGTCTGAAGAACCCGGTGACGTTCCCAGTTCGAGCGGCTCTGATGGGTCAGTCTGCGCCGCAGCTGCTCTGGCTCCTGCAGCAGTCCCACAGGTACAACTCCAGCCTGAGCTCGAGCTATGAAACCACCTGTATGTTTTTTTTTGTTTTGTTTTTTTAATGATTCAATATTTATTCAGATTAAATAACAAATACACTGCAAACAGGCTTATAAGGTATCTATTTTCCTGTATTATCTATAAGTGTGCGTTAGGGAGCATCATTTGCCCAAGTTTTTGAAACATTTTTGAAAATTAATCTGTACCTAGTATAAATTTTTTACACTTGCCAAAGTAAATTCCATGAGAAATGTCATGAAATTCTATTGATGTTTACTGGGTCCAACAAGACTCTGACGTTTAGTGCCTGCAGAAGCCTTAAATCTGAGCTGAAAAATCTGTTTTTCCTTAATAACATCAAAAATAATTAATTTAGTCCAATAGTATCAATGGAAGTTGAATATAAATATAGACATTGTGGATGATTTGGTATCAGTTTTATGTCTGTCTCTGAGATATGGCAAAAGTGTCATTTCTTTGGGACTTCAAGGACCTTGAATAAGCAATTATTTTTACAAAATAATAATAATAATAATAATATATATATATATATATATATATATATATGCTTAACTTTACAAAATAATGTTGTTTTTTATTTGAGAAAAACAACTTTTTCTGCCAGAGCTTTATGGACACTGTTAGGATGGAACTTAAAGAGATTTTATTCAGTTGAGCAAATATTCCACAGATTTTCTTTTAATTCGTATTGTCACATTTTAAAATTGGGTACAAGTTGAATTTCTGACATTGGAACAAATGATGCAGCCTATTGTACTAGCGTCATGTGTCCTGAAGAGGGCGACAAAGCCTGAGTCTGTAGTGGTCTTTACGTGAGCCGAATGTCTGGGTGGAAAAAACAGAAGAGCTGTGGAGAGTTCGTTTAATGAGTCTGTGCACCATTCGTTCTTTTGAATTTCAATTAAGAACAAAAACAATAAAATGAGAAAACAGTGACCTGGTGATGGTAAACTACTACTGTAGCCACAGCTGCCCTGGGGCAGACTAACAGAAGCACGGCTGCCTTACCGGCACCATCACCAACACCATCACTCACACTAGGCAGTGTGGGTGAAGTGTCTTGCCTAAGGACACAATGATTGAATTGACTGTATTTAACTGACTCCAGACACGAAGAGAAACATGCAAACTCCACACAGGAAGGTCCAGGCGACCGGGGATCCAACCCAGAACCTTCTTACTGTGAGGCATGAGTGCTAAACACTCAGCCACCATGCCACCGGTGGCTGAGTGACTAGGACTAAATCAGGACTAAACTAGATCTAAACCAAAACTAAACAAAGTCTAAACCAGGACTAAACCAAGACTAAACCAAGGACTAAACCAGGACTAAATCAGGACTAAAACCAGGACTAAACCAGGACTAAACCAGGAGACTAAACCAGGACTAAACCAGGAGGACTAAACCAGGACTAAACCAAGACTAAACCACCAGGACTAAATCAGGACTAAACCAGGATCAAACCAGGACTAAACCAGGACTAAACCAGGACCAGGACTAAACCAGGACTAAACCAGGACTAAACCAGGACTAAACCAAACCAGGACTAAACCAGGACTAAACTAAACCAGGACTAAATCAGGACTAAAACCAGGACTAAACCAGGACTAAACCAAAAACTAAACCAGGACTAAACCAGGACTAAACCAGACTAAACCAGGACTAAACCAGGACTAAAACCAGAAACCAGGACTAAACCAGACTAAACCAGGGACTAAACCAGGACTAAACCAGGACTAAACCAGGACTAAACCAGGACTAAACCAGGACTAAACCAAGACTAAACCAGGACTAAACCAGGATCAAACCAGGACTAAACCAGGACTAAACCAAGACTAAACCAGGACTAAATCAGGACTAAACTAGATCTAAACCAGGACTAAAAAACTAAACTAAACGAAGTCTAAACTGAGACTAAACCAGGACTAAATGAAGACTAAACCAGACCTAAACCAGGACTAAACCAGGACTAAACCTAAACAGGGCTAAACCAGGATCAAACCAGGACTAAACCAGGACTAAACCAGGACTAAACCAGACTAAACCAGGACTAAATCAGGATCAAACCAGGACTAAACCAGGACTAAACCAGGACTAAACCAGGACTAAACCAGGACTAAACTAGATCTAAACCAGGACTAAAAAACTAAACTAAACGAAGTCTAAACTAGACTAAACCAGGACTAAATGAAGACTAAAAGACCTAAACCAGGTCTAAACCAGGTCTAAACCAGGTCTAAACCAGGTCTAAACCAGGACTAAACCAGGACTAAACCAGGACTAAAAACTAACTAGGTCTAAACTAGAACCTAGGTCTAAACCAGGTTAAACCAGGACTAAAGCTGCACGGACGTGTTTCCTCCTCTTCTATCAATAATATTTTTAATTTGGTTCAGTAAAGTCTGGGATTTTTATTTTCTTTTATCAGACAAAACATCTTACGTTACAATATTCCTCGTCTTTGCTTCTCTAAAGCAAACCAAGTAATCCAAAGTATTCAGATTACATTACTCACCTTAAGTAATTTAATGGATTCCGTTACAAACTACATTTTGGTGTATGTAATCTGTAATCTGTAGGGGATTACATTTTAAAAGTAACACTCCCAACACTATAAACAGTACAGTTATATTTAATAGGTCCTAACTAAATATGTGAGAATGAATATGCAGTAACGACAATAACCGAAATATCGTGATATCGTATCGTCAAAAGTCTCACAATAATACCGCGGACTGTCACAATATATTGAATTCCAAGTTGTTTTTTTTTGCTTAAATGCATTGTTTTATAGTAGAAAAAGCTAATAAACATCGGGAACTACATATCCCATGATTCATTTCAGCGCAAACAACGTGAAGAAATATGTTTTTTACTTGAATTCTTGGGATTATGACGGAAATAATTCACAATAAAGTCATGTCAAGGTAAAGTGTCCTAACTACAATTATATAAGACTCTCCAAAATATCGTACTGTGAGATTTGGATATCGTTACATCCCGAGAAATGAACGATACCGATAAAAGCCTTATTGACGTCTCGTGTGTGTCGTACAGACTGGACTCAGAACGACCTGGTCCGCGGTTCCAGACTCAGTTTCTGCCAGAGGTGGACTTTGCTGATTGAAGAGAAAAACAGAATCCAGTGTGTCCTCCCCCCTGGACCCGCTCTTCCTCTCGGCGCAGAGTGAGTTAACTATTTCAATTACGTCCATGAATCAAATGTTCCGTAATGGTATGCAAACACACTGTCATCATGCCGCGGTCTGAAGTGGGTCAAACGAAACGGGACACGTCGTTTCTTTGTACAAGGTCAATGAAGCAGATCTGTTTCCTAAGAAGAATAACTACAAGTGTTGAGAAATACAATATTCAGTTGATACGTGTTCATTTATTAAAGGTGCACTTAAATTTGTAAATTTTCTGGTGGAGGGTTTGTTACCTGCGTCTTTTTTCCTGCTTTGCCTGGAATGTTCCGGCCTGATTCATCAGCCGGTTTCACTTTTATGGAAACAGTCTGACCTCTCAGCATTAGGATAGGCGGGTACTTTTTTAAATTTAACCAATCGCTGCTATTTGGTCATGATGTATGTAATGCGCCGCTAACTGGTTTATTAAACTTTTCCCAAATCCCGTAGGAAGAAGGACAATAACGTCTTTCCCCTTGTTAAAATTCACCAAATATTCTCTTTGTTCGGGCTTTAAATCCTCGATCTCGACTTGGACTCGAGTCGGGCTTCAGTCACTATTTTTAGGACTTGAGACTTGACTTGATAAAATGGACTTGGATTTGAAGGTCAGTGACTTGGGACTTGACTCGGACTTGAGGCCTGTGACTTCAGAAGACTTGAGAAGCACTTTTAAATCTGAATTCTTTCTATTCTGACTGTAATGATTCACACCAAGATCTCGTCAAGACATTTAAAAAGGAAAAATGAACATTTCTACATCTCTCACATACTCTGTAAATACTCATATATAAATATACTATGATTTTTTAAGTACAATTTATCTAAAAGTCATAAATTGCAAAAATCTAAGCTTTGGTTTAAAGGCTTGAAATGATTTGAAGGTCAAAGCAGACGACTTGGACTTGAGTTGGACTTATGGGCCAGTGACTCGAGACTCGACTTGGACTTGCCCGTGTTTGACTTGGGACTTGACTCGGACTTGAGGTCAAAGACTTTAGACTTACTTGAGACTTGCAAAATGACGACTTGGTCCCTCCTCTGATCTCGGGAATCGTTGCCAACACTGAATATATGGCTCTTCGCTGATTGGCCGGTGCCCGAACTCGCACTTCCTGTTTTTTTTTTTAACCGTTTAGTGTCTTCTGATTCCTGACCTAGTCGCTGGAGAGAAATTAAAATTGAGTAGAGGCACTAGGTGGCGCCAGCCTGACTAAGAATAGCATAAAAAAATCTATTTAGTCTGAATCTATTTTTTCAATTGCAGGTGTTTTTTTAATGTTCAAAAATATCTTGAAAAAAACCTACAGTCTTTATCTGAATGGGTCGCCTCTCCACAGATCTGTCCGGTAACTTGCCCCGGTGGCACGATTTGCTTGTTTCCATAGAGATGCACACATGTAATGTCATACTGCGAAACATCCCAGGCAAAGGAAAAGTATCTTCATCAAGACAAGTGTGTGGCAGCAGAACCTCCACCTAAAATTGTGTTCCTTTAAATAAAAAGTTTACATAATGAACTAACATTTTTTTGTTTATTAAGTATTCAAATATTCAGGTATTATTGTTGCTTTGTTATTGATTAATTACAAATGATTAACTGCACTGTGTAACATTTCTAGTGCAGGGTCTGCTACCTGCTTGTCTCCATGGAGATGTTATTGTTTGTCTAGAACAGGGGTCAGAAACCTACGGCTCGAGAGCCACATGTGACTCTTTCATCCTTCTGTTGTGGCTCCTTGTAACTTTGGAAAATAAATAATGAGTATTTAATTACAATGCATTTTTATTTTTATTTTAGTTTTTAAATTTAATGCTAAATTTGTAGATAATGGTAATCTTCTAACATTAAAATAAAATGTTTATAATATTTTTGTCACTTAAAATATGCATCACAGTCGCCGATGTGCAGCACATATCTGACAGCCCGGACTTTCCGGCACCTTCACCAGCAGCACGATTTATTGAGCTTTTCGGTCTCTGGTAGTTAATTGATGATTAAATCCAAGAAAAGAAAAGTTTCTGAAGAAAACAGAACGTTTATTGCTACGTGGGCAGATTCGTGCACGCTTCAGTACTCGCGATAAAATGATGACGGAACTCAGGAGCGGGCGGCATTTTTGGTAATTGATAATTTAAGTTTGATTTTTATTTCCTACAAGGAGAACTCAAATAGACTCAAATAGTATTTTATTTGAAAGTAATAAGTGCCTTTTTTCAGTTCAAAATGTTTTTGTTTCATGCAGAAATAACATTCCGTGTTCTCTGTCGCATTTCATTGATTTTATAAATGCAACACACTATAGTATTTTTACACAGAGCACACAGATAAAACAATAATTATATGTAGTGTTCTCCTCATTTTAGATGTGAAAAGGATTTTGTGTCTCCAGGTGTTTTCTTTTCTGTGGGAGACGCTCCAAATGGCTCTTTGAGTATTTAAGGTTGCTGACACCTGGTCTAGAATGTTCCACAGTACAGATTAAACCTGTCAGTCATGAGGGAAAGAAGCAGGTCACAGCACTACACTACATTACAAATCAGATCTGTGGAGAATCGCCCCTATTCACAGAAGGAATTATTGTATTTTTGAGCAACAGAAACACCTCTAATGAATAAATGCTGGATAGATATTTTTAATCTTATACCACTGAACATTCAAAGTGTTAACATCTCCATGGAGACACGCAGGTAGCAGACCCTCCACCAGAAAAGCTGCAGAGTGCATCTTTAATTGTTAAAACACCGTTCCAGTGCATTACAAAACTTCGCCTTATCCTTGTAGAGTTTGTTTGCACATTGATTAAAATAAAAAGTTACTGCAGGTATCAGGGACAAGGACACACGTGAAACCAAACCAAAATACTCCCAACCAGGAATGTAAGTAAAATCTTTTGGTAAATCTGTAGTTGTCATATGTTTTTCTCTTCCTCAGATGCCTCAGTTCATTCTCTCCCGTCCAGGGCCTCAGAGCAGTTATCAAAGACGTAAATGGACACCAGCTTCTCGAGGTAGAAGAAAATCATGTTTAATGTTTAATATAAATAGTGAGAAATGGTTACAGGAGTTTAGTTTTTTTTTGTATTTTTGTTTGTTTTAGGTTTGGGACGAACGTGGTCTGAGAAAGTGCCTGAACCTCACAGCCCTCAACCAACATGGACGGGTCTATGATGACGGTGAGAAAATTATTATTATTTTTTTTATACTGGGTTCCAAATTAAATTAAAGTTCCCATATTACGTTATTTTCTGATCTGTGCTATAATGTTGTTTCCATCGCAAACAGACCTGGAGTTGTGTTTTTTTTTCATTGTTTCACATGTTTAACACACAAACCCTGCAGATTTAGGCCTGAGTTCTTCTCTTAAACAGGAAACACTCTGTTACACCTTGTGATGTCATGTGATAATACAGGACGTGCTCCACTGTGTTTTTAAACTACAAACACTAGAATCACTTGGATAATTTCAGTGCTGGAATTGCCGATCTTTACTGAACAAAAGACAAAAGATAAAAGGTAGACATGACATGCGGTTGACATGACATCACAAGGTGGAACAGAGCATTTTGAGCTTTGGAGACTTAGACTAATAATAAAGTGTTATAAAGATGTATGAATGAAATGAAACACAAACTCCATGTACTGTATGTTTTTGAGGAGGTAACAGTATTCTAACATTTCTCTCAAGAGTCAATCTAGACCAGGGGTGTTCACACTTTTTCATCATCATGCGAGATACTTACAAAATGACCAAGTCAAAATGATCTACCTAATACAAAGCCAAGCAAACTGCACTGAAACACTCTGTGCCCCTTTTTTGGACCCTCACCCACAGTTTGAGAACCTCTTCTTTAAGAGAACTTCCTCTGGCACTTTACACAAAACTGTGAAAAAAGTGAAGGAAGATTTTTTAAACCTGTTTTTTAAAGTTCCAAACTGGAGTTGCATTCTTTTCTGGTTTTGCAGTGATATTTACCAGCCTCTGCACGTTTACCAAACCAAACGCACATCGTGACAAACACAGATGCATTTGTGCACTTTTGTTAGACAAACTTCAGCCAAATGTGGCAGTAGGTCTGTTCTGTAGATCCGCTCTATGCTGTAGACCTGCTTTGTGCCAACACTGTAACACAAATTTAGACTGGTTTTTGCTTCACGTTTGGTCTTGCTCTTCTAATCAGCCGCACTGTGGGAGGGGCTTGTGTTCGCTGTACGCAGGAAGGAGCGAGAGCGTGAAAAGGCGAGGGGCGGCGTGCTGACGTGAGGCAGATGGACAGGTAGGATGTTTAGGAAGTTGAACCTGCCCTGTGATGCACGCTGGTACACGAGGGCACACGCTGTCGCAGACGAGCCGTGCATAGGGAGCGTGTGTGTTTGTGATGCGCCGTAGAGTCTCCGCGGGTTTCAAATGAGCGCACAGGCTGCACTGAGACGCCCCACACGCTCCTGCACCCGCTACAAGTTTATTACCAACAGCAGCGGCCGTAATGAAATATGATCACACTTGTTGAGTGTCAGACCTTGAGTGAGAGACAAGACTGAGTCCAAACGCGATCGAGTCCGAGACGAGACACGGTGATCTACCCACACGACCTTGGCGATCGACTGGTAGATCGGGATCGACGTATTGAGCACCCCTGATCTAGCGACATTAAAAAAGTTATTAATAGTGGTAATATTCTTCTTGTTGTATATTTTTAGTGCACTTTGGCTGTCTGTCCTGGTCACGATGTGAAAACAAACTGTTGTACATCGCTGAGAAAAAAACAGAGTCACCAAACGCCTCATCTGGAGATGTGAAGGTGAGAGACGTGCTGTGTGCTGTCTTCTCAGCTACAGGTGAAAATTCTGGGAATTTGGAAAATGTTTGAATAGTACATGGGAGTCAATGGGGAAAAAGGGAGTTAACAAGGTTTGCTCTTATGTAGAAGTGATGTACAGAAACATAACAGCTTAAATGTATGCAACTTCATTTATATAACTTACATAATGTCTAAGGAAAAATAGCTGTGGAGTTTGGAGGTAAATAATAGTTGAGTTTTGTTTGTTCGTAGGAGCGCAGACTGTACCGTGAGGACTGGGGAGAGGCTCTGTCTCAGAAGAGTGTCCCTGTGCTCTGCTGTGTGGACCTGAGGAGCGGGGTCGTCCGTGTGCTGCAGGGGGCTCCAGAGCAGCTCTCAGCAGGACAGGTCTGTGCTCCAGCTTTACACTTTACACTGGACATGATCCACTGGAGTGATCTCATCCAGCACAATACAACAGAATCTGTGTATCATTCGTTCATTCGTTTTTCAAAATAAAACCAAAAATAAGAAAATGCAAAAATAACTGTTTTCTTCATTGTTTGTCTCCAAAACCAAAATGAAAAAACAGATAATGATTTGTTTTTTCAGTTTTCGATTTTGTGTTTAAATGAATAAAGGAAAAAAACGGATAACGGCCGTTTCCCGTTTCCCAGACTTAAACTGCAATGCCGGACTAAAACAGGACTAAACTAGGACTGATCCCAGGACTAAACCAGGAGGACTAAACCAGGACTAAACCAGGAGGACTAAACCAGGACTAAACTAGGACTGATCCCAGGACTAAACCAGGAGGACTAAATCAGGACGAAACCAGGAGGACAAAACCAGGAGGACGAAACCAGGAGGACGAAACCAGGACTGAGTGTCAGGACGGGCCCAGAAGTGTGCCCGCTTAGACTGTCGGGTTGCCGCAGGGAGTTACCTGCTCGGCGGTTTTGGGTTCCCGTCTTTCTCTCCAGTCCAAGATTAGTCCTAGTTTAGTTCTAGTTTACTCCTGGTTTATTCCGGGTTTAGACCTGGTGTAGCCCTGGTTTAGTCCTGGTTTAGTCATCCTGGTTTCGTCCTGGTTTAGTCCTGGTTCAGACCTGGTTTAGTCCTTGGTCGGTCCTTGTTTAGTCCTTGTTTAGTCCTGGTTCAGTCCTCGTATCAGTCCATATGTGGCGCAAAAGTCCGGCATCGCAGTTTAAGTAACGTAAAGGGGAAACGACCATTATCAGTTTTTTTCGCATTATTCATTTAAACACAAAATCGAAAACTGAAAAAAAAAGGAACCGTTATCTGTTTTTTCATTTTGATTTTGGAGACAAATAATGCAAGAAATAATAGCTTTTTTGTTTTCTTATTGTTTTGGTTTTATTTTTTATAAAAAAAAAAAGAATGAACAAATGATACGCAGATTCAACAGAGCGTCTATTGTGTTGCTTAATTGAGAATGAATTATTTGGACGTCGCAGCTGCTTTACTGGATCCATGTTTTGTCCTATTTTCAATGTATTATTTTGAAATCCTCTGTAGGCAGTGTGGTCTTTGGATGGTGAGAGCGTTTTCTTCGTTGGCTGGTCCCATGAGCCGTACAGACTGGGACTCAAGTTCTGCACGAACCGCAGGTAAACCACAACGCCAAGGATTTTTATTATATTTTATTATACACCATCAAATCCACTACTTCTGACTCCTGTTTCCTGTTTGTCCCTCTGCAGATCTGCATTGTTTCGGATCGATTTGGAAGGAAATTGTGGTGAGAATGAACTTCTATTATTTTATATCAAAACTCAAACTAGACTTAGACAAACTTTTTTGATCCACAAGGAAATTATTTGGACACAGTAGCTCACACATCACAATATAATAAGAAAGAGCAACCATATGAATGCAAAAATAGCAAGAGACAAGTGTCAAATAAGATAAAATTATATAAAGTAAGTAGTAAGTGAAGTAATGAAAATATATATCACCTACCGGTATATACAAGAGGTCGTAAGGAAAAGTGCAAAGATGATATGATGAACCTGAAACGAAATGATATGAAAAAATCAATAAAAAATACAGAAAAGTCCAAAGTACATTGCCTCAATCCTGACTATTGGGCCCGGTCACGCAGAAGTAAACAGCAAGGCCAAAAATTCAAGTTAATGCATCTGATATAAAAATGTATTGAACAGATACATATGTACTCTAGGTTATGAAACTGTTGACCTTTTTTCTGTCCCATTTTTGGTTCTAAAGTTACATACGTTTTAAACAGACCATGTATGAAACATGGAACATGTATTTCCCAAATTTCAAAGACCTGAAAATCATGTAAATAAATGGATGTATTTCATCATATCTTGTGTTATTCCATCTTTGAACTGTTGATGAAGGTACATGATTTTTCAAAAAAAATTTATTTAAAATGATAAAAATTAGCTTGGAAGGACTGACATATTTTATAGAAATAGTTTCCTTTCCTTTTGAAGTAATATTAAAGTATTCAGAAGAAAAAAGCGACAAATTATGCAAAATCATGCACCTTCTACTTGTTTGCACAATTTTCCCTCCGTTACCATGACCTTTCTTAATAAAAAATCTCATGACTCAAAAAGTAAGAGGTTTTTCAGCCTAATCTTGTACCATATGGTAGAAAACTATATGAAGCAAATATTCAAACCAGTTTGTTAAGGATATGTAAGTGAGAACCACTAGTTATCACTGTTTGTATTTATTGCCCAAAAAGTGCTGCATATTTCATTCCCTCCGTTACCGACATGAGTTTTTAAATTTTTTGTCCACAACTTGAAAGAATATCACAGGTTTAACTTTACCCTGTTGGAGTGTAACTCTTTCCTACATTCTGATACTTTACTTATTTCAATAGTCCCTCTAGTTTCTGAATAAGAGACATTTGAATGTCAAAAATCTGCCCGTTTCCCTCCGTTACCACTTGACCGGACCCTCTTCTGTTTTCTCTTCTCTGTTTTGTTTTCAGAGCGTCTGTCAGAAGAGAACGTGTCCGTCTTAAGTCCTCGTCTCAGCCCAGATGGATCAGCTTTAGTTTTTCTTCAGGGAAACGTGTTTGGGCCTCACGCTCAGTGCCTCAAAATGCAAATGGTAACTCTTTATAATTGTGCTCTAATATTAAAGGTCCTGTATTATGCAATTATTGATTCTTGTGAGCTTTACGTCATGTTAGAATGCTGCTACCTCATCAAAAACGTAGCTGGAGTTGTGTTTTGTTTCATTCACACATCAAGTCAAATCAAACTTTATTTCTGTAGCACCTTCCAACAACCAAAGCCGACCAAAACATTAAAACAAGATAAAAAACAAGAAACATCATACAAACAAAGCAACAAATCACATTACACCATTAAAATAAAGAAAGTGTTACAGGGCCACTAAGCGCTAAAAGCCATTCTAAATGAGTAGGTTTTAAGTTTGGCTTTGAACAGAGGCAGGTCAGGGATGGACCGTAACTCAACGGGCAAAGAGTTCCAGAGTTTAGGACCGGCCACTGCAAAAGAACGATCAGCCCACTGTTTGCACCGGGACCGGAGGAACCTCCAGCAGATGTTTCCCAGCAGAGCTTCACGATCTGCTGTTGGTGAGGGATCAAACTCTCACAGAAGTAGGAAGGTGCAAGACCGGTGACTGCATTAAAAACAAACATCAAAATTTTAAAATGAATTCTGAATTCTGGGTGATGTGATCATGTTTTCCGACTGTTAGTGAGCACATGTTTGACTGTGTTTTACTGTTTACATCTCCAAAGCTCAAAATGCAAATATTTTCAAGTGAACAGGTTCCTTTTACCTTTATTTTAATAGTAATAATAGGCACCTCCAGGGCTGAAATAATCCAAATCCAAAGACAGTGGAGCACTTACTATGTCACCACATGACATCACAAGGTAGAACAGAGCGTTTTTATTTCGAGAGAAGAACTAAATATGCCTAAATATGCGAGGTTTGTTGTGTGAATGAAACAACTACAACTCCACCTACACCATTATCTCAAAATATCATTATAAATCAGAAAACCGCATAATATAAAGCCTCATTTTGTACCTTTGTAGACAAAAATAGACTTAAATAAAAGCACGTATTTTCTTTTTTAATGCTGTTTATTACACTGAAAAACATCTTTGCATCTTTACTGTGAGTGAGCTTCAAACAAACCTGACTCCTCTTCCTGCTTGTTTCCATGGAAATGCTGTTCCTTTGGCTATAATCTTTGTCAGTATGGCATAAAACCTGGAGAATGTCCCGATGTGTGGTTTTAACTTTCTGTTTCCGTGGAATCAGGGGGGTGATGTGCCGCCTCCTCCAGTTACTGTACCTTTAATATGAACAACGTCACATTTTTACACATTTGTGATTTTGTGTGTTACAGTTGGACCTGAAGAGTAAAAAAATCTCCACCCTTATTGACGTCGTCCACAGAGCGCAGAGTGGAGAAGACACCGGTCTGTTCCATCTTTTGTTCAGAATCAAGAATCAAACTAAAGAGACTTGTACGGATTGGCAATGTGCAAAAAACAAACAAACAAAAAAGATCAGGATTCATGTACATTGAGTGTTTTAATATCTGCGTCTTCAGTGGGTTCACTCGTTACTGTTAAATCCACCTGTCACTCTGTCAGAACCAGAGGCTGGCCAAAAGTGTTTGCGTTTAAAGGTGGACTATGCAACTTTTCAGATAGAGGGTCCGCCACCTACCGTATTTTTTGGACTATAAGTCACTCCGGAGTATAAGTCGCACCAGCCAAAAAATGTGCAATGAAGGAGAAAACAATATGTATAACTCGCACCGGACTATATGTTGCACTTTTTGGGGGAAAATTATTTTATAAAATCAGAGACCAGGAACCGACATTTCATCTTGAAAGGCAAGTTTTAACAATAACAAAAGAAGAGAGAACAACAGACTGTTAACGTCACATATGAAAAGTTCTTCAGATAACGATAGCATAAACAACAGAACAGAACAAGTTTAACCCTCTCAGGCTCAAATCAATTTTTAGTATCAGGAAAAATCTGATATTTGGGGAAAATTATAATATGGGGTAGTAATATACAATCCTGACTTTTTTATCCTTTGTGAACAAAAGAAGTATTTTGCTCTTCTGGCAGGCCGTTTGTGTGTAGTCATTCTTGCACAGTCTGCATCGTCCACGTTTATCAGCATGGATGGGAGAAAAGGCTCCTGAGTAAAAAAAAGCTAATAAAATATGGATGTGGAGTAAGTAGGTAATTGGAATTTAGCTGTTGCAAATCTGCAACGCCTGCCTGGAGAGGGTTAACAAACTCTCCATCTCACTCCAAATCACTAAATCCATTGAATTCTTCATCCTCGACCTCCGGAGGTAAACAGAGCGCCGCTTCCTCTTCTGTGTCGCTGTCGTCAGACTCCGCATCAGTTCCAGTTACAATTATTCTGGCCTTTCTGAATCCCGACAGGACGGTTTCGGTGTCACTGAAGTCACTTAAATTTTAAATTGTTCAGTGGTGCAGAAGTAACGGTGCGATCGACTGACGTGATACAGACAGGACAGCGGCTCTTTCTGCAGGAGACATGCGCAGTAGAGTGAAGTGACAGTGGTACAGGAATAACAGGAGCAGCAGATACTGACACACAAGACTAGAGCCTCTTCTGGCTGTCAGTGTGAACATTTTAATACATAAGTCACAACAGAGTATAAGTGGCAGGAAACACCCAAACCATGAAAAAAGTGCATCTTATAGTCCGAAAAATACGGTAATTGTCTCCATGGAGATTTTACTTCTTTGCCTTCAACGTTCCAAAATCTGCCATAAAATGTATCTATCTTTGGTTAAGTAAATTACAGGTATTTTTATTACCCAAAAGTAGCTTAAAAATGCAACACAAAGACATCTCCATGGAAACAAGCATTTGGCGGACAGTCCACTAGGAAAGTTACACAGTGCAGCTTTAAGTGTAGAGCTCTATTAAACAGAACATTTGAAAATCACAACATGACGCCATCACCAAAATAATATAGTTTTTTTGTGTAGACAGAGTGTATTGCTTTCATGTACTCTTAATAATAGACTAAATATCTCCCGTACACGCTGTAGGTGGATTCTCTGGAGTGTACGAGTCTCTGCCCTCCTGCTGCTGGTCCGAGGACAGTCAGAGAATAGTGTTCAGCAGCGCTCACAAGAACTGGAAGGTACACACACAATTACACACTTTTATTTTTATATTAATAACTGTTATAGACCTATATTTATCAATAGTCACATATTGGCCAGTTTCACTTCGTAGAAACCGTCTGACCTCGCAGCATTAGGTTTCGTTCGCTCGACGGTGTGCGGGTACTTTTTTTATTTGACCAATCACTGCTATTTGGTCGTGATGTATGTAATGCGCCGCTAACGGGATTAACTGGTGTATTAAGCTTTTCCCAAATCCCGTAGGAAGAAGGGCAGTAACGTCTTTCCCCTTGATAAAAATTCACCAAACATTCTCTTTGTTCCAGCTTTAAATCCTTGATCTCAGGAATTGTTGCCAACACAGATCGTACGGCTCTTCGCTGATTGGCTGGTGCCTGGACTCGCACTTCCGGGGTTCTTAGAAACCATCTTTTTCTGAATTCCGTGTTCCGATTCCTGACGTAGTCACTGGAGAGAAATGAAATAGAGCGAGGTCACCAGGTGGCACCAGCCTGGCTGACATATTGTACCATATTGTTAGGTTTCTTTGCCAGAAATGATTGAGAGACGTACTATTGTGTTTAGACAGATTCCTGAAAAAAATCCGATAATAAGGCCTTTATCTCTTTTTATTTATGCTATTTTCTAATCTATGTTATAATGTTGTTTCATGATCAAAAACATACTTGGAATTTTGTTTCATTCAGACTCTGCATATTTAGACTGTTTTCTTCTCTGAAAGTGAAAACACTCTGTTCCACCTTGTTTTTAAACTCCACACACCTTCACTAAAAACATATGGATAATTTCAGCCCTGGAATTGCCGATCTCTCCTGAAGTAAAGGTAAAAGGAGCTGTTAAAAGGAGCTTCATGACATCACACGGTGGAACAGAGCATTTTGGGCTTTAGCCTGGTCAATACACCCGCTCGCTTGCCCCTCTTCAGCCGCCGCTCACAGCACCTTCTATGCCGGTCTGAGATGATGGGCGGATGATCTTGGGAGGGATGAAATACTCGGCTGACGTGTAGTAGTATACTCCAGTGTTTAGGCGAAGGAGTTCAGAGTAGCTGTACTGAAGTAGCCAGACTGATGCCACCTAGTGCCTCCTCTCAATTTAATTTCTCTCCAGTGACTGGGTCAGGATTCAGAACGGTTTACAAGAACCCTGGAAGTGCGAGTCCGGTCACCAACCAATCAGCGAAGAGCCATATATTCTGTGTTGGCAACGATTCCCGAGATGGAACAAAGAGAATGTTTGGAGAATTTTATCAAGGGGAAAGTTGTTATTGCCCCTCGAGTGAACAAATCTTAATGCTGCGAGGTCAGACAGTTTCCACGAAGTGAAACCGGCTGATGAATCAGGTTTAGTACTGAAGTTCCGCTGCACCTAAAGTGTGCGAGGTCATACACAGTACCAGTAGTATCTTTAGAGATGTAGACAGACTAATAATAACTAAATTTATATGTGTGAATTTGTACAATATAGGACTTTTAAAGGTGCACTATGTATATTTCATGGTCAGTGGTTCGTCACCTGCTCGTCTCCATGGAGATGTTTCTGCTTTTTGAAAAACACGAGTTTGTATTGTGAGAAATTGACCTGCAACCTGCCCTGGTAGCAACACCTGCTTGTCTCCATGGAAATAGACAAGTTAAACACTATACTGTGGAACTTTCCCAGCGAAGCATTAACATCAGCGGAGAAAAGCAGAGGTCAGACACTGCCAGAAAAGTTACATAATACTCCTTTAAGATGTGCTAGAAGAATTTGTGCACTATTTTCTTTTGAAACGTTCTGTTATTGTATTGTCTTCTTCTCCTCCAGGACATATTTGTGGTGGACAGACAAACCCAGACTGTCTCCTGTCTCTCTGATAGTAAGCCTCCTCCCTTAGCTCCCCCGTCCTCTCCTGTCTCCTCGTCTCCTCTCTCCTCGTCCCTGAGCCTCACCTCCTTTCCCCCTCCTCCGTCTCCTAGCTCCCTCCCCTTCCTTCCAAGCTCCTTCTTTCCTCCCCCTCCGTCTCCTGTCTCCCTCTCTCCGCCCTCTCCTCCTCCTCTCGTGACTTCACTTTCTCTTTTACCCGAACCTCCTCTTCCTCCTCTTCCTCCTCCTCATCACAGTCATGAACAGGACCCAACACAAGATAAAGGTACAACATAATATGGTGCCCTTTTAAACTTTACAGCTTACTATTTACTTTAATTTTTAAAGCATAGGTCAAAATCAACAAAGTGATCAAACTGTACAAGTACACCAAGCACAGACTTTTTGTTTATTCGCAACTAAGACTTTGGTTACCTTGAAAAAGCAGAACACAATTTGATATCTGTGTGTGTTGCTATTCTGCTTTCTTTAAACCAGACACATTTGCTTTTATGGGTATTTTAATATTAAACTATAACATAGGTAGATGGTATCATAGACTGTATATATAAAGGACATATACAGGCGAGTTTCATTGTTGACAAAAGCGCGCGTTGCATGCTGGGAATTATTTTGGTCGGCGGCAAGAAACACTAATTCAACATGACGGACGGAGTGAGAAAGCACGTAAAGGGTATTGATCCCGGTTATTTATCCACTCTAACGGCAGAGGACCCAAGACCATTTGACCAGAAATTGGTCATAAGCATCGACGGGAGCCAAATCACCGTTTTCAACCCCGACAAAAGGTGGACCAAACCAAATTTCTGGTCAGAATCGCCAACTACCTGGACAAACATTCACTTCCGCGATATCCACAATGACTTGGTGGAAACTCCTGGGCCATTCACAGCAGAAAAGATGAAAACCTCCAAGAGTCTCGATGTGTTGTTGAACTTGTTGGAGTCCACGGTTTGTTAGGATCTTCTACGTTTGCTCTGCGAATGTTTGAAAGCCATTTAATTCACCGTTAGCGGTTCTTTTCACTCAGAATACGAAAAAGACATTTTCCTTCTTCCGTGCTTCTATTTGTGCATCCGATAATGCAGCAGGAATTTACCATTATCGGGGATAAATACACGAGGTTACGCACTGTGTTTGACCACTATCTTGCCTCCGACCAAAATATTTCCCAGCATGCAACACGGGCTTTTAATAACAATGACGTCAGCTGAAACTCGCCTATACAGTCTAGAGTCTAGCCGCCGCGTCCCAAACAGGAAGTTCGCATGCGGGCACTTCCAGCTCCTATTGAATTACACTGGACTATTGTGGCCGTCTCTCTGTAACTGCTGCTGTGAGCTTCGCCATTTTGATCTTAATATGTTTGTAGCAACACACTCTGCATGATCCTGGCGTTTTTATTTTTCTGTTTTGTCCTAATTTGGAGCCTGTAACCCCGAGCATCGCAAGCTTCATTTGAGTGGAGCCGAACTCTGTGGGTGACGTCACACTCGAACAGGAATTGAACTGAATGCAGGGCGACACACTACTACTCAAACATGCAGGAAAATGCTACGCTGAGTAAGATAGTGAAGGAACATCATTATAGCATTTTAAAAGCTTATTGCCATTGTTTTTTTCCCTGTATGTGTCGTTTAATTTGTTAATAGTCAGTGTTAATGAAATCTGTTAAACTTTCTTGTGTCTGTTTCTCCACAGACGTCTCTGATGGTCTGAGAGTGTTTGGATCCTGGAGGCTCCTGACCATCCACAGAGACCTGATGGTGGTCTGCTGCTCCAGCCCCAACACTCCGCCCACACTGGTATCTACACGACCTTACACCAGGGGTCCCCAACCACCATGCCCTGGGTTGTTTGGTACCAGGCCTCAAAAGCACGAACCCCTCCTTCCATACGCCTGGACTGTACCTCGCCTCTAAACCAGAATTAAAACCAGGAATAAACCATGACTAAACCAGGACTAAACCAGGTCTAAACTAGGACTAAACCAGGACTTAACCAGGTCTAAACCAGGTCTAAACCAGTTCTAAACAAGGACTAAAACAGGACTAAAACAGGATTTAACCAGGTCTATACCAGGTCCTAAACAGGACTAAACCAGATCTAAACCAGGTCTAAAATCAGGACTAAACTATATCTAAGCTAGGACTAAACCAGGTCTAAATAAGGACTAAACCTGGTCTAAACGAGGACTTATCCAGGACTAAACCAAGACTAAACCAGGATTTAACCAGGTCTAAACCAGGTCCTAATCAGGACTAAACCAAGACTAAAACTTGTCTAAACTAGGACTAAATCAGGTCTAAACCAGTACTAAAACCATGTCTAAACTAGGAATAAACCAGGTCTAAACAAACCAGGACTAAACCAGGACTAAATCAGGTCTAATTCTGGCCTAAACCAGGACTAAAACAGGATTTATCCAAGACTAAACCAGGATTTAACCAGGTCTAAACTAGGTCCTAACTAACTAACTAACCACGACTAAACCAAAACTAAAACATGTCTAAACCAGGACTAAAACAGGATTTATCCAAGACTACACCAGGACTTAACCAGGTCTAAACCAGGTCTAAGCCAGGTCTAAACAAGGACTAAAACAGTACTTAAACAGGATTTAAACAGGACTATACCATGCCACGCTGCTTCTCTTCCTCCGGACATAAAACCGGTCTGTCGCGCAAAAAAGGTTGGGGACCACTGCCCTACACGACCCTCACTTCACATTTTATCACTAATACTATTACATATACCAGACTTACACTTACTTATGTGAAGTGCATTGCCCAAGGTCTCCCCTCCAAACACTAACCTGACCAACTGCTGATGATCATGTTAAATATTTTGAACGTGATTCTGTTTTGTCATTAACAGAGAGTTGGATTCCTGCCCCCTGGTGGACAGAGTGTCTCATGGAAAACTCTTCTTCCTCCTCTGAGCACGTTCGACTTCCCCTGGACCGTCATGGATGTGCGGCCCACAGCGGACGAGGACAATGCCAAATACAGTAGCTTTTTAACTGCTTTTTTTTTGGGGTTTATTTTCTCCCTTCTAATCCGTTTCTAAAGCTTCGTCGTATTTCTGTGTTGTGTTTTTGCAGCTGGTCTTGATTTTGGTGCCATTTTAGTGAAACCGTCCACTCAGGGCAAAACCAAACTACCTCTAGTCGTCTTCATTCATGGTAATTATAAATATATTAAATTATATCCCAAATTATTAACACTGTGATTAACTACTGATGTTTATTTCAGTGAATCTTTTATGATTTTTGTGCAGGAGGCCCTCACTCCCAGTTCCCCGCTGAGTGGAACATCACCACAGCGGGTCTGGTCCAACTGGGACTTGCTGTTTTAATGGGTGAGTAAAAAAAAAAAGCTATGTAATAACTTCTCTCTGTGTGTTTTAATAAAATAATTTGTTTCTAAATAAATAAATAAATACACTACCAAACACACTTCACTCAAAGGTTTGGACACACTATCTCCTTCATGTTTACCTTATTTTTAGTACTTTCTACATTTACTACACACACAGATGGGACCAAAAATATGAAGTAAAAAAAAACATTGAATAACTACTATTTTTAAAAATATTTTTTTATTCCAATCCACAAAGTAGCCACCCTTTGCTTTGTCAAAAAAAATGTTTTCTATATCTTTTCATATACCGTATTTTCCGCATCATAGGGCGCGCTCATAAGCCTCCAACCCCATCACAAAACGACTGCGCGCCCCACAATCCAGAGCGCCCCATACACGAATCCACTCGGGTGTCCCAGCACGACTTCAGTGAACTACAAAGCCGCACCACCCGCAGCGCACGCAAACACACACGGAGCAGAAAAACACCCACAGACACACTCATCACTCCACGCCGACGAGGAACGGAACGGAGGAACGAACCGAAAAAGCGATTGCAATGTGCCACTTCTAGACACGACTGAACAACTGAGTCACTGCGAACACGCCGACAATCCGTTGGTCCCAGACAGCACCCTCCCTACACGCCACAACTGAACAAAGCCCAGAGTCACCGTGAACGAACAAACAAACAAAACCACTGACTGTTACGTCCCCTTTGCTAGGGGAGAAAGGAAAGTAACAATAAAACCAGGATGTTAAAGGTTTAACTAAAAATTGTGCATTTATTATTTACAGTGTAGGTAAAGAACAAAATAAAAACAGACAATTGAGGAGAAAATAAATAGGAATTAAACAAAATAATCTAATAAAGTAAAGAGCTCTAACTAAGTACAATGTAACAAATCTAACTCAAGTTGTACTGCGAACAAAAAGGTGTCTCAAAAACTAACGAAGGCAACAGGCGGCAACAAAACTCAAAATGAGACAACCCAAAACATCAAACAAAAGGGCGAGCTGGCCGCAGTGATCCAGCCGCCTCCAGCAGGCAGAAGATGGTCCTTTTTAAACCCCCACTACCACAGGTGGCACCCGCGGATTGGTGGGTGCGGAGGGGTGAACGGTCAGTCGTCGACGCGCTGCGACGCCAGCGTTCGTCCGGCGTCTGGTCCTCCCGCACATCCGGGTCCAGGGCTCGCGGACCGAGCGCATCATGCACACAGAAAAGCAAATACAGAAGAACGGGAGCAAATATAAACAAATATTAAACACTGACCCATTCAACTGTTGTGTTTCCTTTAAAGTCCGGTGTGGTTTATTTGTGAAAAAAGTTTGAAAATAGACCATTTAATGACAGTGCGTCTTATAATCCAGAGCGCCTAATAGTGCGGAAAATACGGTATTTGATGTTTTCTGTATGCATATCAAATGTAGAAAGTAGTAAAAATAAAAATTAAAACATAAAAAAAACGTTAAATGAGAGGGTGTGTGCAAACCTTTGACTGGAAGTGTACATATATATTACTTTAGATTCTTGTTATAAGCGACGTACATTTAATTATTATTTTCTCATTTCAGCCTCTAGAGGAAAAACTACATTATTAATAAATACAATTCTGCACTATGATAATATAGATGATTAAATTTAATAAATAATGAAATATTTTCATTTTGTTTTGCAGTGAACTACAGAGGGTCCACGGGGTTTGGCCAGGACAGCATCTTGTCTCTGCTTGGCCAAATCGGTCAACAAGACGTCCAAGATGTACAAGTATGTTATGGTCAAAATCTTCATAATAAATCTTAATGAATCTAGAACTTTAATTTAATCAGTACAAAAAGATACATTAAAGGTGCATTGTGTAACTTTTCTATTGGTTTGTCAAATGCTTTTCTCCGTGGAGGTGTTATTGCTTTGTCTGGAATGTTGCATAATATGGCTTTAAACCTTTCTATCTTCATGGAGACCAAACCAGACCAAGTTACAGGTCAGATCTGTGGAGAGGCGACCCCGCTCACAGTCACAATGCCTGTTTTTCTAGGTATTTTTGAGCTATAAAACCACCTGTAATTGAATAAATGTAAAGTAGAGCTGTTTAATGTCACACTGTGGAACATTCCAGACAGAGCAATGACATCTCCATAGAAACAAGCAGGTGACGGACCCCAAACGAAAAATTTACATAGTGCATCTTTTAAATCATTTTAACAATTACAAGTAAAAGTTATATTTTCTGTAACATTTTAACGTGAATTGTAACAGTTTTAACAGATTTAACTTTTGCCACTCACCTCTTTTTTTTTTTTTTTTTTTTCCCCAGAGGGCCGTTCAGTTTGCCCTCCAGACTGACACGACCCTTGACCCTGAGCGTTTGGCGGTTTTCGGGGGGTCACACGGTGGGTTTCTGTCCTGTCACCTGATTGGCCAGTTCCCGGACGTGTACAGAGCCTGTGCAGTGAGGAACCCTGTGGTGAACGCAGCCACTCTCCTGGGCACCAGCGACATCACTGACTGGTAATTAATACAGCATACAGAGAATAATGACTTTATACTTTTTTTTTATTGTATTTTTGCATTTTTATTTACTGTATTTTTCAGACTATAAGTTGCACCAGACTATAAGTCACACTTTTTTGGGAAAATTTATTTTATAAAATCAGAACCGACATCAGGAACCGATATTTCATCTTGAAAGTCAAGTTATAGTAATAACAAAAGAACAGAGAACAACAGACTGTTAACGTCACATATAAACAGTTCTTCAGATAAATATAACACAAACAACAGAACAGAACAAGTTTACCAAACTCTCCATCTCACTCCAAATCACTAAATCCATTGAATTGTTCATCCTCGGTGTCACTTCCGAGCAACTGTGCGACCTCCAGAGGTAAATGGAGCCTTCCTCTTCTGTGTCGCTGTCGTCAGACTCAGCATCAGTTCCAGTTAGAATTATTCCGGCCTTTCTGAATCCCGACAGGATGGTTTCGTTTTTCACTGAAGTCCAGGATTTGTCGATCCATCTAGTGACTTCCAGGCAAGTTGCATGGCTTACCGGTTGCCACAACTTTCTCGCTCCCTCTAAACTTTCTTTCTGCTGCTCGATTACCTTTTTCGGCTGCATATTTCGCTACTTGCAGTTTGTAATCTGCAAAATATGATTTTCTTTTTAGGGACATTTGTGTTCAGTCTGCTCAGTCTTTATAAGTTTGTTTAAATTTCAAATTGTTCAGTGGTGCAGAAGTAACGGTGCGATCGACTGACATGATACAGACGGGACAGAGGCTCTTTCTGCAGGAGACATGTGCAGTAGAGTGAAGTGACAGTGGTACAGGAGGAACAGGAGCAGCAGATACTCACACACAAGACTAGAGCCTCTCGCGGCTGCCAGTGTGAAAAGTCGCAATGGAGTATAAAACACAGGAAACACCCAAACCATGAAAAAAAGTGCGACTTGGAATCTGAAAAAAATACAGTAATTATAATTTTTTTTTCTTTGTTTAGGAGATACAGCAGCGTCGGTATGAACTTCTCCTATGAACAGATTCCAACTCCTGAGGCTCTGGCCACCATGTTGGAGAGGTCGCCCATCACACACGCGCCAAAGGTCAGACACGAGGGCCAACTGCGGTGTTTCAGATTACACAACAACATTTTATAGGCCAATAATATTAATACAAATGGCGCCAGCTGAAATTCATATTGCTTAAGGTCAGAATTTTGTTTTAGTGCACTGAGGTCTTGGGTCATCACTAATAGAAATGATCATTGTCAGCATTTATGGATTTACTTTTTGGATATTTCATGGTAAAATCCAATGTAATCCATAGGGAAAACTGTGTCTTCCCATCTCAGAGTATGAAAAGCACCAGTGTTCATAAAATAATGTAATTGTGATCAGGAAAAATTGTTGTGTGTTTGCTACGTATGAAATGTGACCTTCTGTAATCATCCTAGATTCAGAGTAAATTCACATTGTTTTTTTTTTGTTTTTTTTTACATCAGAGACAGTAAGTTCATCCAGTTGGTTGATATCCTGGTTGGACCTATAAATTGGTGTAATAAGATTATTTTTGGGTCGTAGTTGGCTCTGAAAGTCTCAGTATGTTTACACTTGTATTCAGTGTTGGGAAGGTTACTTTTAAAATGTAATCCCCTACAGATTACAGAGTACATACCCCAAAATGTAGTTTGTAACGTAATCCATTAAATTACTTAAAGTGAGTAACGTAATCTGATTACTTTGGATTACTTGATATTGTCATGTTTTTTTAAACGACATGAATGTAGCAACCACATCCTGAAAATTCTTGTTTGTTTTCTTCAAATTGTCTGAGCCCAAGTCTCCATGAATAAGCAACTGTTTACTGTAGAGAAACAAAGACCACGAGATCTGAATATAAGAGGTTTTGTCTGTTAAAAGACAATAACAAGATCAGCCTTTCCTTCACCAGATAAAAAAATATTATTGATAGAGAAATTATTTTTTACATGAGATCACCTTAAATTATGTCAACCTACTGTTAGGTGTCATGTTGTTTAGACCTGGTTTAGTCCTGGTTTACTCCTGATTTTAGACCTGGTCTAGACCAGGTCTTTAGTTCTGGTTTAGTCGTGGTTTAGTCCTAGTTTAAACCTGGTTCAGTCCTGCTTTAGTCCTGGTTTAGTCCTGGATTAGTTCTGGTTTAGTCCTGGATTAGTCCTGCTTTAGTCCTGGTTTAGTCCTGGTTTAGTCCTGGTTTAGTCCTGGTGTTAGTTCTGGTTTAGAGGCGCACAGGAGGAAGTGCGGTTTACGCGAGAAAACACGGTCCACACGCGGCGCACGAGACGGCGGTGTCCACGCTGTAACTACGGAAGGAGACGTGGTCCGCGGGTTCTCAGGTTGATGACGATGATGAAGATGTGTGTTTGTGTGTGTTTGTTGTGTGTGTGTATGTCGCAGGACAGTAGTGCAGATATTATGAGTCTATGCAGGTTGTTTTCACTAGTGCCAGTAGCTCCTGTTTCACATTTAAGTTGTAGGCGATTTTATATTTGTTTGTTTTTTTTTTATATATATTTCACATCGGGAGAAGAATTTCCAAGACACAAATGCGTTTTTACCAATGCACTGCTGCTTCCACTGTGTGACTGACATCGCCAACTTTAACATGACGTTTACATCGCTCTTATTGCGCGCGCGTTCTGTTTGGGCTTCAGGCAATGAGTGGAATTACCGAAATAAAAAAATAAATAAATGGGATGTAGCACAAAATGTGAAAACAGGAAAATACCGCCTTGTAATCCACTTATTTCAGCAAAGTAACTGTAATCCAATTACCACTCATTGAAACAGTAACTGTAACTGAATACAGTTACTCATAATTTGTACTCTGATTACGTAACGGCGGTACATGTAATCTGTTACTCCCCAACACTGCTTGTATTATACTAAGCTTTTCTGTAGTTACTTGAGAGATAAATAACAATTCCACAACACATTTGGATCAATTTTGTCTTATGTTATTTTGGTTTAAAGGAAATAAATGCTGTTTTCAGTCTCTGCTCTGGTATCGGTTGACATCGCGTATCGGATCGGGCAGATACTTTAAAGCCATAGTAGTGATGGAGCCTCGTGAAGCATTAACACCTCAGTCGTAATATTGTCTCAAATGTTTCGACGTGTTTGAGGCCGCGGAGAAACACTGACCTCTAGTGGACAAATTTAACCGTTGGCGCGCAGGTGTCTCGGCGTCGATGAAGTATTGTTAGTGTAAGACAATACTAGTGTGCAGAACAACACTGTACTAACAACAACAATAATAATGATGATTTAAAATAATATGTAAAGAGCAACATAAATAGCAGCTGTAAATAAGAAAATAGGTGACCAGCTTAAAGGTTGTATAGAGGATTTTTCAAGGGAAAAGAGATACAGCGACAGTCCTTTTCCAAATGTTGTGCATGAGTGACACCACCTCCCTCCTCCACAGCCTCAGTAGAAACATCTCCTCCCGCCTCTTTACTCTAGAAATCACGCTTGTTTACAGCCGGTGAAGTGACCTGTCTAGAAATAATTTAGCGACCGATGTGACAGTTTTTAGACCCTTCGTCTGCTTCAGTCGCGCCATCGCCGAAAGGAATCTCCAAGAATCACCTCAGTTTGTCTTCGCTCCTTTTCCCCTTCTCTTCTTCTTTCAGCGACCTCAAAAACTGACTTTCTTTTGCGGTGAACTGGTCATGGATTCTCGTCCGCCATCGCAACAAACTTTGTGCGAATTGCGAGGAAGCTACAGTTTAAAAAAGCCTCTAAAACCTGCTGCATAAACCACATAATCCCTGCGCGCCGCGAGTCAGTTACACTAGAAATGTAGGAAGTTTGATTGACAACCTAACAGCCAATAGATAAAGAGGGAGCCTTGTTTTCTATTGGCTGATGTTTCTCTGGCCTCACTTTGTCCGCAGTTGATAGATTTTCATTCTTTTTTTTTTTTTTGATCATCTTAATTACAAGGCTGCTGCGTCTCTGTAATGGTATTTTAAACTTTCACTGACAATTTGAAACAAAAAAAAAAATCCTCCATGCAACCTTTAAGTGGAATTAGATCAGGCATGTCCAAACTACGGCCCGTGGGCCAAATGCGGCCCTCAGACAAATTTTTCTTGGCCCTCAGGCTTCCAAGTGAATTGGCCCAAATTACCTTGCACCAATTAAAAATGAACACTACTGCAAGTGTTTTTTTTTTTTTTTTTTTTTTAGGAAAATCTACCTTGATAAAGCTAATATTTAATATTTAGTGTGTGGTTTTAAGAATTTTAGCATGAATAAAGGAGTGATGGCTCATTCTGATGTGTTAAACATGCACATATTTCAATTATTCACTGTATTGAGCACAAGTTTATGGCCCTCGATCGGCCCTCTGCTTCGTTTGTGTTTAGATTTGTGGCCCTTGATGAAAAAAGTTTGGACACCCCTGAATTAGATCAAAGTGATCCCAAACCATGGATCGTTTTTTTCTTGTAGATGCCATCGAAAAATGAAACAAATGCCAAAAGTCGCCAAATTCACCACTAACGTCACACAATACTCCTCACTACCCAACATTTTTAAGAAATATTGGTGCATCTTTTGCAGTTTAGCGCTTGTCAAACTGCAGAAGTGCGCTGAACACTCTGAAGCACTCTGAACCAATCGCAGAGCGGAACATTCGCCGAGCCAATGAAACGCTTCGATACACTGATGCGACTGACACGCAGAGTGAAGCAGCAGGGGGAGGGACCCACACTTCCACACTTTGGTCACGTGAGCGGCTGCTGCGAGACGAGCTCCGAGGCAGTGCTCCGGAGAAATTTGTTTCAGAAAGAACGAGACGTGCTCCGGAGCTCCGTCTCATTTGCCCGTCACTAAGCCATAGTATTGAAAGTACTGAAAAAAGCTGGATCAGTGCATCCCTAACAGCTGGACTAAATGCTTCCAGAGTCCTGCTTCTATACGTGCATAAGGATGACTTTGCGTGGTAACATTTGAACCAGATGCTCACCACTCCACTGTCCTTGTGTGTAGATGAAGTGTCCCCTGCTGCTGATGCTGGGGGCCAAAGACCGCAGAGTGTCTCCTCACCAGGGCCTGGAGCTGTACAGAGCTCTGAAGAGCAGAGGGAGGATCGTCAGGTAACAGCTGCTTTTGGTTATTCTGCTTTAAAATGTCTTGAGTATTCTTGTAAAACTCTGCTTTATGTCACTCCTTATTGCACTATTCAGCTTTTAACAGTGTTGTGTTGTTGTCCATTCATCAAAAACAGACCAGGGGTTGTATTTTGTTTCATTCACTCTTCTTTCATTTATTGCCATCGCAGTCAGTACAAATATCTACTGATATTATCATAGTGGTCGAGTTGCTTATGGCGAGCTTTTGTTTTATTTCCCCATGATTCATACCTACTGCTGCCAGTTAGGGATGCATCATTATCGGCCCAATACTTCCTTAATATACTCAGTATCCCGAATTAGCCAATAACCTGGCTCTGAGAAACTGGGATAAATAAAGTGACTGCACATGAGTGAAATGGCTGTTAAATAAAGAGCTGCGTTGCATACGTATGATCTCTGATAAGTTTAACATGAACCATCTCAAACGCGATACACACACAGAACAGACTCATCATCATTAGCACATCCTCTGTCACAGAAAGAACACACACATATTCCACTGAGTCGTGTCCTTTAGTCCGACAGAAGCTGGCGCATCAGGACACGAAGAATGAGCAGTTTTTTCAGTGCTTATGGTTTATGTAAATTAGTCATGTGGTTTTACGTTTCATTTCTGTAAAACATAAACAAATGTGCACAAAGCTGAATTAAACATATTATAATCTCATGGTTGGTTGTAGGGATGGGCATGATTAGTTGACTAATCGATAATTGATATTTAAGAATTTCGTCGATTATGTTTTTAATCGACAAACCGAGTGTAGGTTGCTGTGCGTAGAGGCGATGTTTGTCTGACACAAACACTGGAGTCTTGGCTTCACAGTCCCACATTTGGTCTCTGGCACCTCCTTGGAGACACTGTACCACTCAGCAAGTGTGTTTACATGCACATCTGTGTCCCAGTTTCGTCATGGTGCATGTAAATGCAGTATCCCTGTTACTGCAACATAAAGGCTGCGTTCAGACTGCAGCCTGAAGTGACCCAAATCCGATTTTTTGGCTTCTATGTGACCTGTATCCGATCTTTTAATGAGTCTGAACGGCACAGATCCGAATTTTTCAAATGTGACCCAGGACACTTGGATATGTGGTCCTGAATCCGATACATATCCGATCTTTTGACATGTGACTTCAGTCTGAACGGTCAAAGCGCATTCATCCGACCTACATGTCATTAACAAACGACAAACGTCACTATTCTGCGCTGAAGCAGGCGGAAACCGGAACTGTAAAATCGCCAGGTGATCAATGCTCGCGACCATATTTGGACAACTTCTGTAAACACAGAGCACGCTCGCTGCGGTTGACGCATGGGGTTGACGTCATGGTGTCCTCCCATGAGCGTGCGGGACACTTTCAGGCCGTTTACCGTTCACACTGAAGTCACAGACAAGTTGCATTTAATTGGAAATGTGAACGACCTCGCAAAAACATCGGATTTCACAAAAAAATCGGAATTGAGCGTTAAGCCCTGCAGTCTGAACGTAGCCTAAGAGCTGCGCTAAACCTGCACACATCTGATTTCTGAAAACATGAACCATCTCCAACGGGACACACACACAGAACAGACTCACCATCATCATCATCATCAACATCCCTCTGTCACAGAGAGAAACACTCAAATTCCCCTGAGTTGTGTCCTCTATTCTGACAGAAGCTGACCACATCAGCGCTGTATTTTTTTCCCATGCGGTTTTAAGTTTCATTTATGTAAGAACTGCACAAAGCTGCATTATAAACACATTATCATCTCAAACGGGCTGATGTGATGTGTTATGATTTATATGTCGTAAATTTGAGTTTATTTATGCAGATTAGTAATAGTAATAATAATGATAATAATTTTAACAAAAAAACTTTAAATGATTAATTGAAAATTTATTGTTAATTCTCCCGACGATCGATTAAGAAAATTTAATCGAATGCCCATCCCTTGTTGATTGTATTTTTCCTGGTTTATTAAAAATAAAAAAATTTCGCTTGTGCTTTTGTAAGGGGCTTGGAAGATGGCTAATAACTGGGAAAACTGGTGTGAATGTAAACGCACTCAGTGTATGTTCATGGGGTTGGGGGTTAAAGTATCGGTATCGGCACTCAGTATCGGCAAGCACAGAAATTATTATATCATATTCATGCCTGTTTTCAAAAAAGTGGTATCGGTGCATCCCTACTGCCAATAGATGTCGTACTAACACTAAATCCAAGTGGAGGGAGCCCATCTGATGGACCGTGATGTATGATTTCTTTCTTTTAAGTTCTAGAAACATACCAAAGTGAAGGAACTGAAGAGCTTGTTTATATGTACAATGAATAAAATGCATCCTTCAAATCCAGTTTAAGCCATTTTACTGGTGTATTTCTGGATGTATTTTGTTTTCTCTTTGCCTTATTTCAGTGAAATCTTAGTCCAAATAGCCTCTGAAACATAGAATAAGATAGACACATGTTCTGGTTTAAGAAGAAATAAAGACAGTAACAATATTTTTTAAAAAGTGTATAATTATTTGCTCTTGTCCGTAGGCTGCTGTGGTTCCCTGAGGACGGTCACTCTCTCTCTCGTGTGGACACTCAGACCGACTGTTTCCTCAACACTGTTCTGTGGCTACAACAATATCTCTGACGCTGACACATCTGCCCCACATCTGGACTAAAATCTCACCGAACTGCACTCAAAACTGAATTATCCAGGTTTGAATTTTGAATTTTGTTAATTGTTTGTTAATGAAACTTAATCACCAGCAATTTTTCTTACTTCCCTCTGCTAATTTTAAAGTTTTTCACATTTACAATATAATGTAAATAATCACAGTGGAGAAATAATAATAATAATAATGATATAACCAGTATTTGAGACACATTACGTTGCATGATTCAGTCACTCTGTACTACGTGGTGCTAAGCTATTTCAGTAGCTGTTTACATTTTATATTGGTTTTAAAATATTCTTGTCAAAACATGTAATAAATGTCGTCTTTTTAACAGTGGTTTTGTTTGTTTTAAATGACAAAAATTAGAACAAATCTGACATTGTTGATGAATCAGCGTATCATTCGTTTGTTTTTCAAAATAAAACCAAAAATAATAAAACAAAAAAACAGCAATTTTCTTCATTATTTATCTCCAAAACCAAAATGAAAAAACTGAAAATTATTTGTTTTTTCAGTTTTCGATTTTGTGTTTAAATGAATAATGGAAAAACGGATAACGGTGGTTTTTGTGACGTAAACTGTGATGCTGGACTTTTGTGCCGCATAAAAACTGAACCAGGACTAAACCAGGACTAAACCAGGACTGAACCAGGACTAAACCAGGACTAAACCAGGACTAAACCAGGACTAAACCAGGACTAAACCAGGACTGAAACTAGGACTAAACTAGGACTAAACCAGGACTAAACCAGGACTAAACTAGGACTAAACTAGGACTAAACCAGGACTAAACCAGGACTAAACCAGGACTAAACCAGGACTTAACCATACTCAGTCCCATTTTGGTCCCGGTCTCTTCCCTGGTCTTGTTCTGGTCTGGTCCTGGTCTCAGTCCTGGTCTCAGTTCCAGTCTGGTACCGGTCTTGTACCCTTCTGGTCCTGGTCTCAGTCCTGATCTTGTTCCGGTCTGATCCTGGTCTCAATTCTGGTCTGGTCCCTGTCTAAATCCTGGTCTCAGTTCCGGTCTAAGTCCTGGTCTCAGTCCTAGACCTGGTCCTGGTCTTGTCTCGGTCTCAGTCCTGGTCTGGTCCGGGCCGGTCCCAACACTCAGTCCCTGGTTAGTCCTGGTTCAGTCCAGGTTCAGTCCAGGTTCAGTCCAGGTTCAGTCCAGGTTCAGTCCTGGTTCAGTCCTGGTTCAGTCCAGGTTCAGTCCTGGTTCAGTCCTGGTTCAGTCCAGGTTCAGTCCCAGTCCTGGTTCAGCCCGTATGCGACACAAAAGTCTGGCATCGCAGTTTAAGAACGGGAAACGGCCGTTATCCGTTTTTTTCCATTATTCATTTAAACACAAAATTGAAAACTGAAAAAACAAATCGTTATCCTTTTTTTTCATTTTGGTTTTGGAGACAAATAATGAGAAAATAGTTGCTTTTTCATTTTCTTAATTTTGGTTTTATTTTGAAAAACAAATGAACGAATGATACACAGATTCTGATGCACTTGAAAATATTTGGTTACATTTGGTTCAACCTTTGATTCGTTTTAATGGGAACACAAAATAAGTATGAGAAATGTCCAGCAGATGGCACTCTTCACCCACCTTCATGAACACTACTCACTATGTTCAGTTTTGGTTTGGACCCGTCACAGTTCACCAATAAAATCAACAACTTACATCAAGAAATTTCATTTGTCTGGGCAGTTTTTGTTTTCCTGGACAAGAAATTCAATCATTATTAAGGGTCCTTCCTCCTCAAAAACAGACCTGGAATTGTGTTTTGTTTCATTCACAAATATTTCACTAACCTTTTATTATTAGTCTGTCTACATCTCCAAGCTTAAAATGCTCTGTTCCACCTTGTGATGTCATGTTTTCAAGTTTGTTTTGTTTTTTTTACCTTTAGTTCAGTACAGATTTGCAGTTCCAGGGCTGAAATTATCCAAAATTATTCCAGTAAACATGTATGGAGTTTAAAAACACAGTGGAGCGCTTCCTGTATTACCACATGACAACGGATGGAAGACACTCACACACACACATCACTTTCATACTAAATGTGAGTTAAGTGTCTTGCTTAAAGACACAATGACCATCCAAGTACTAACCAGGCACTTGCAACACAAACAAACTGCTTTCACTGTTGTCTATTTTTGGATAAAAAGTGACATACTACGGTTTTAAATGTACGTTAAAGGTATGTAACTTTTTGGTTGGGGGTTCGTCAGCTGTTTGTTTCTATGGAGATGTCACTGATCTGCCTGAAATGTTCCACAGTGTGACATTAAACAGCTCTGCCTTACATTTATTCAATTACAAGTGGTTTTATTGCTCAAAAATACCAAAAAAAAAACAAAAAACTGTGACTCTGATTGTGAGCAGGATTGCCTCTCCACGGATCTGACCTGTAACTTGCTCTTATTTGGTGTCCGTGAAAATAGAAAGATTTAGGTCCCATTTAAACATACATGGGTAGGGAGACATTTCCCTTTGTTTGTGCCCATCTTTTACACTCAAACGGAGAATTTGCCTCTGAAAATGAATCTTTCTAAAAACTCCAGCTAGAGTGGAGATTCTGGTAAACAACGCGCCGAAAGTGCGACCAATGTTTACCTTTTTCTCTGATGATGATCATGAAAGAATTCAGAGCAGCAGTCACATTTCTTCTGGTGCAAACACTTTTCATGTGTTTGTATTTGCACACAGCTGATGGATTGAATCGATGACCAGAGACGAATGGGGCTCGGAGATCAGCGATTTTGCCGTTTCTTTAAAGAGCCCATCTCATGCAAAATAACTCTTTTCACATTGTATCTTCTGCACATAAACAAGCACAATTTGGGTTTTGGAACATCCATTACACAATAGTTCTGAAGTTAGTTATGATTTCTTGGAGACAGCGTCACAGACCAGGAACTATGAAAGTCCGACTATTGCTCCTCCCCCCGCCCGTCCTGAGAAAGCACAGGCTCCGCCCTCCAAACGTGACGTAGACTCTGAGTGAGCCGCCCTTCCTCCGCCATCTCAGGGAGGGAGGGGGAGACAGGCGTGCACCCTGATAGTGGCAGGAATAAACTTTTATTCATCATGGAGATACAGCGCGTTCAGCCGCATGTGTTGGACCCAGAATCGGACGAGGACTTTGAGGAGCACGAAGCTCAAGCACCACGTCCACATCAACTGAACATTACTGATTGGTAAAATATGAATAAACACTAGTAGATAAACTTATTATATCGTGTTCACTGGAGGAGGCGGGGTGGAGGCGGTGAAGCGGGAGACGGGGGCAGGTGCGAAGCTCTTTCTGCTTCTGCAAGGTCATCGTCATAGGTGTAGCTGCCGCGTCATCGTTGTAGCAGGTTTTAGTTCGTTGTCATGTAGGAGGGTGGCAGAAATACGCCGCAATTTGTTAAAAGAAAACCAAATCAATTTAAAAACCACTTCAACGACAAATACAAGGTCCACACATCACTCTTAGAAGGTAGAAAGCTCTGAAAAGGTGATTTTTTTCCTTTAACATATCTGTGGAGAGGCGAGCCCGCTCAGTAACAGTGTTGGAGAGTAACAGATTACATGTACCAGAGTTATGTAATCAGAGTACAAATTATGAGTAACTGTATTCAGTTACAGTTACTGTTTCAGTGAGTGGTAATTGGATTACAGTTACTTTGTTGAAATAAATGGATTACACAGAGGTACTTTCCTGTTTTCACATTTTTTTCACATTTCAATTTCAAAATTTTTTTTTTTCGTAATTCCACTCATTGCCGGACACTAAACCAGGTCTAAACCCAGGTCCAAACCAGGTCTAAACCAGGTCTAAACCAGGTCTAAACTAGGTCTAAACTAGCACTAAACCAGGTCTAAACCAGGTCTAAACCAGGTAAACCAGGTAAACTAGGTCTAAACTAGGTCTAAACTAGGACTAAACCAGGACTAAACCAGGTCTAAAACCAAGTCTAAACAAGGTCTAAACTAGGTCTAAACTAGGACTAAACCAGGACTAAACCAGGACTAAAACCAGGTCTAAAACCAGGTCTAAACCAGGTTTAAACCTGGTCTAAACCAAGTCTAAACTATGTCTCAAACAGGATTTTAACAGGACTAAATCATGCTGCGTGGACCTGTTTCCTCGTCTTCTATCAATCAATATTTTTAATTTGGTTCAGTAAAGTCTGGGCTTTTTATTTTCTTTTAACAGACAAAACATCTTATGTTACAATTTCCTCGTCTTTGTTTCTCTACAGCAAATCAAGTAATCCAAAGTATTCAGATTACGTTACTCACTTTAAGTAATTTAATGGATTCCGTTACAAACTACATTTTGGTGTGTGTAATCTGTAATCTGTAGGGGATTACATTTTAAAAGTAACACTCCCAACACTGCTCAGTAATGCACGTTTTTCAAGATATTATTGAGTAATACTTACAACTGTAATGAAATAAATGCTACGTGTTTGAATCTAGGTGTAGTTATGATGACGCGCGATGACGTATTTATGCGGGTTGATGTAAACGAAAACTTTTTTGAGAACGATGCTGTGTGCACGATGTTACTTTGGAAAACAGGGAGGGAAATATTCGTTTTTCAACATACCCGGCTGTGTGTAAACGTAGCTTTAATGCCATACTGTGAAACATTCCAGACAAAGCAATAACATCTCCATGAAGAAAAGCTTTTAATGGAGCCTCCACCAGAGAAAAGCTACACAATGCACCTTTAAGTCTTCTGGTACAATGTTCAATCTTAAAAGCGTTTCCTCTCAGTATAAAGACGTGTTGTGACTGGGCCGTGAGACGTCGGGGCGTTTGGAGATTGTCCCTTCTGTGGGCTGGAGCTCAGAGTGGACAGAAGAGCTGACTGTGGACCGGGGCCTGGAGGAGGAGGACAATGGACCGGAGACAGACACAAAGACGCTTCACATGATGCTGGGGTTTTCTCTCAGCCCACAGAACAGAATCGGGAACTGAAGAGACCAAAGAGAACTGGGAATCTTAGACACAAAGAAAAAGCGAAAACAGAAGAGAGCAGGATGTGTTCTGGGCTCGTCTCACAACAGTGGGAGGAGTGAAAAGGAATGGACTTTCCCAAAATGTGCAATATTTGAAACTGGAATTAGTGTTGTCACGAAGCTACAATTTCACTTGTGATAAGAAAAAGAATGTAATTTTCAACACAAAATAGAGCGTTTTCTATTTCTATTTACAAAAGATCAGAATTCTTCC